AAGTAGCCAAATGCTAGTTAGCAAATGGCTAGCTAAAACCTAAAAGTTGCTGAATGCTCAAAGTAAGAAAATGCTAAATTTAGCAGAACGTTAGCATTTGACAAAAAGTTGCACAAGTACACTTAGCATTAGCATTATCATTAGCAGAATTAGCATTAGCAGTCTTAGCATTAGTATAATTATCAGTAAAGTACTAACATTATCAGAAAACATCAGAAGAACTGATTTTTCTCAGATTAAGACTCGAACGGTTGCAGAACGTGACGATGCGTTGATGCTGGCGGGACGTTTTTTTATTTTCCACACGTTTCGTCTTTGGACTGAACGTCCACGCAGCCAGACCGGCCTCCATGAACAACTCACCTGAGCGTGAAGCCTTTGCTCGCCGCTCCTTTGCTTGTGGGCGAGTTGCTGGCGCTCCTGGACAGATCTTCCACGGACCTTTCTAAAGATTTTCTTTTGTCTGAGGGCAGCGTCTCGTTGTCCCCGGTCTCTGTCTCAGACCTGGAGACCAAGTCCAGGACAGACGGACGGGTTAAATGAACAGAACTTGAAACTAATTCAGCCGGGCCTCTGAAGAAAGCTGAAGCTGGTACGTACGTGGCGGCGCTGTGAGCAACAGAAAGATAATCCACAAGAACGTTTAATCCCTGGTTCTCCTCGTTCAGGAACTCCTGGGCCCAGCTGCAGGAAGACAACACAAAGGAAGTATTAAATTTAAAGCTTTTTACTACTGCTTTTCTTTCTGTGCATGGAAAAACATTATTTTTGTGTACTTGTAACAAACTGTGTTTAAAACCATTTACGATTTGGAGTCAAATCTGTTAGCAAAATATCTTGTTAACAATAAACTAATGACAGTAAGTTAGAAAGTGATCACTGGTTGTACAACCCTCTCTCTACTGGAGCAGACCGGTTCAAGATGGCCGCCAGAGCTAGTCAACATTAACCAACAAAAAATGTCAACAGTCCCGTCAGTTTTACAGACGTGGAGGTAAAACTGTGGTAGTTGCTGAAAGTCACCCCCAACACGTGCTGTGAGGGCCGCTCATTAGAAGCCAACGTCTGCTGATTACACGTTGCTCACCCGATGTGATTGGTCCTGAGGGAGATCTCCAGCTCTCTGAGGACCTGCGTGGACTCTTGGACACGCCTCTTAGACTACAACAAACACAAACATTGAGAAGACGAGGGGCCAGCAACTGCCTGATAACTGAAGATGTTCGGTTAGAAGTGAAATTTAAATTGAACTGAACGACACGTCGAAGTGTCAAAAACATCTGGATTTTTTAGAGCAAAACTCACGGCTGAACATTTAGTCTTTATTGGTTTATTATTCTGTAAAACTTTAAATTTTGTTTCACGTTCTTCCAATAAAAATATAAAACTAAAGGAATAAAAGTTGTTTTATTGGGACGACTGTATTTAAAACAGTTCGTATGAAAAACAGAATTTAAGGCTCAAAGACTTTCACATGCTAGTTAGCATCTGCTAATACACAAATCTAATTACATTTAACAAGATTAGCATGTTTTAAACATTTATCACTTTACAGCCTTTACTTATAAAAATGTCAAAACTTAATTAGAAGAGTTAGCAGCTAATGCTACATAGCTAAAGAACGTTAATTAGCTTTAGCACAGCTAATGGTTTCATGTTGGCTGTTACAAACTGAACAAACGTACAGAAATTAACTTATAAAATAAGTTGATTAAACAATAACTGCATAAAATTAATTTACAATAATTATAATATTTAACAAAAAACACCTGTTTCTGTAGATTAACTTTGTTTCTAACATGAGAAACAATAAATCCTGTTTTGTTTACAGTAACTGCACCAATAAAAATTATTTAGCAACAAGCCAGCTGTTTCTGCAGTTTAGATTTTAATATTTTTAATTAAACATTTTAAAGCTTTCGAAACATCTAAGTATTTTTCATAATGAAGTTACAGATGCTGTTTCAGACATGAAGCCTGTCGGGTTATTTATTAACCTGGCGGAGGCAGCGGCTCGTTAAGACAAGCAGCTGAAGTTCTGCTCAGGTTTATAAACGGGTCAGGCGGCTGTAGAACACTTGACGTGTTCAGTGCTCCTGAACACATTTTGATTTATCGTCCCTGGACACTGAAGCATTTCTTGACACCAGGTCATGAAGGTTGTCGTTTACCTTCCGGCTGTTTCCTCCGTGATCCAGAAAACTTTTCAGCTTCTCCAAATAAGCAGACGGAGGATGCTTGACTTGGAATCGCTCCTGAAGGAGAAACAAGATGTAATTATGTCCGACTGTCGTCTCCGAGTGTCTCTGTGATGGACAATTGACCTGTCCAAGTGTCCCCCACCACGCGGAGAGAAGAGAAACAGGTGATGTCAGTAAACACAGATGTTCCTGACGATCCGTTTCGTTTGACGTCACAGAGGTTGGTGTAACATTATCGCCCTCTAGTGTTCGTTAGAGGAAACTAACCGTATTGAAATCCATTATAAATGCATCTCATGTTCTTCACATCATAAAATGATCATTTGAGAGATGCTGTAAAATCCAGACAGATGTTCATCGCAGCTGCACGACTCAAACGTCGTCTCTGAACTCGTGCGGTACAAAACTTATGCTCGTCCCAAAACTGTGGAACACATTGTTTTAATTGCCACAAATATTCTTTTGGGCGTACGAATGGAGAAAATTAAATGTTTTGTCACTTAAAAAAAAAAAACAGCAATGTGGAGGTTTTTCAAACTAAAGGTTCTTGAGCTAAAAATAAAACGTTTTGTAAATTAGATTTTTATTTCAGGCTGAGAAACCTCCGAGTCACTGACCGGTTTATTACAATTAGTTTGTTTCTTTGTTTCTGTGGGTTAAAGGGTTTGACGGTGGTGCAGCGGTTGGATTCACACGGATCACCTGGGCGCAGATTAATGATCCGTTCTGAACTCGGACAACAACAGGTGTTCTCCGGCAGCCTCTCGTCCACACGGCTTGTTGTTGACCGTCCGGTTGCCATGGAGACGTACATTATTAATGAGCTCCAGGCGGTTGTCCCCCACCCCAACAGAACAGAACCACCGGTGTCATTTGGAGCTGAGGGGAACCAACACTGTTCTGCCTGAACTCGACGTTAAAACCCGTTTCTGTTGGGCAGAAGACAAAGTGACAGGAATCTGGAGCTACCTGGTCACAGATCAGGTCCCACTTCTTCTCGTTCTCGTACTGAGAGAGGATCTTCACCTTGTCTGGAGGAAGGTTCATGGTGCTCTGAGGAGACCACAAAACAAACGTCAGCTCTAACTTCTGCAGACTGAACAGACAGAATAAAAACAGCTTGTTAAGTTTTTATTGTAAATACTTTCATTAGAGCAAAGTTTCTAAAGTATAAATACTTTCACTACACGGCAGCAGGAGACCTGATGGTTTTTATTGAAGGTTTTACTTCATGACAAATGGACCCGTCAGCCCGATTAAAGACAAAAACCAGCCCATGTCCACGTCTCTGAGGGACAATGTTTGTAGTTTTAGAGATGAGTGTTTTTTCTGGACTGGAACTGAACAGAATGAAGTAAAACCTAAATGTTTTTAGTGCGAGGAGTTGCACTGGAACAGAGGGACGTTTGATTTATGTTTGTCTGAGGCAGCGACACGAGGGGCCGGGGGGTCGTCCCCATCACAGGGACACCTGGACATGTCTCCAGTCCATCACAGGGACACCTGGACATGTCTCCAGTCCATCACAGGGACACCTGGACATGTCTCCAGTCCATCACAGGGACACCTGGACATGTCTCCAGCCCATCACAGGGACACCTGGACATGTCTCCAGCCCATCACAGGGACACCTGGACATGTCTCCAGTCCATCACAGGGACACCTGGACATGTCTCCCGTCCATCACAGGGACACCTGGACATGTCTCCAGTCTACCACAGGGACACTCAGAGACAACGTTTCCAGTGAACCCACCATGATCTAAAAACTGGAGTCCTTGAAGAAAACCCAGACTGCACAAGGAGAACATGTAAACCCCACAGAAAGGTTGGAAGTTGAACCTGCGACCTTCTCGCTGAGACAGCAGCTCTAACCGCTGAACCACCGTGCCGCCTGAGTTAAACATTCAGTAGTTAAACTCACTGGACTTAAACTGTGACTGTTTTAAAACGTAAAGTTCAGTAAAGTCCAACTTCCTGACCCGTTTAAACTCTGAGTTCTGGTTCTGTTGTCTGAGCTGTGGGTCCAAACAGAGACCCGTGGAACTCGGGCAGCGTCAGCCGACTTTAATCCGGTCTGAAAAGACTCGACTGCTGGACTTGTTGAATAATTCAGAGTTCTTGTCGGGTCAGGCAGGACTTTCCGCGAGTCCGAGGTCTTTGTTTGGGCCTGGTTGCTACAACACGCAGACATCAGAGCTGGTACCGGTACCGGTCCACGGCACCGCCGAGCATCAAGTTCCTCCTCTATGTTTTAGAGAAGGTTCTGTGTTTTGAGAAGAGCAGAAAGTTTCAGAAGGACCAGGACAAGCACCATGTGTTCTGACCGGCTGGGTCTCAGAGGACAGGAAGTAGAGACATTGAATGCAGGTCCAGGTTCTGTTGGACCTGGATGAACCTCTCAGATCTCCAGAGAACATCAAACAAAAGCCATCAACAGAACCTGAAGGGTTGCAGAGAAGGCCTCATGAAGGTTGTGGATCACGAGGGACAGGAAGTGGGTCTGATAGGAAGACCAGAACCCCCCATGACACCAGGTACCGTCACTGAGGACGGGTCCAAGTGCCCCCGTAGGCGTCTGCAACAACAGGAAGGAGACCGGTGGTTCAGACACACAAACTCTTCTCATGTCTCTGAGCTTCACTTTCAGCTCATAAGTTGAAAAATGTTTTTCAAGGAACCGTTCGTTTCAGTCGAGACATAAAAAATAACAAAACTTTGTTCTTTGAGGAGCCTGAGCTCTACAGGTTATTCGTTCTGTTCGTCCAACATCTGGGCTGCAGATACCTGCGTCCAGATGGAAGACACCTGAACTCACCACGGAGTGGTGATCAGGATCTGCCAGAATCAGCCTGGCCTTGTTCAGCGACCTCATCAAAAGTCCAGACCAGCTGATGAAGGTGAAAGATCAAAGAGACTCAACTAAATTAAACATTCTCAGAAAAACCAACATTAAAACCAGAGCTTCAGATAAAAACACGTTCTCTGGTGGTGGGTCTTCTTACAAAGAGAGGTCACATGACTCCGCAGAGTTACAGAACATTTACATTCCTGCCCATGCATGTGCAAAACAACATGCAAACCACAGGAAAACACGTCAACGTAAACAAAGTCACCGACGCTTCTGTTTTCTGGACCCGACTCGAGCATCAACAGACGCAACGCCTCATTTTCTAAACAAAACATGCAAACACACACACACACACACACAAACACACACACACACACTCACACACACACACACACACACACACACTCACACACACACCCACACACACTCACACACACTCACACACACACACACAGACTCACACACCCACACACACACACACCCACAGACTCACACACCCACACACACACACACCCACACACACACACACACACACACACACACACACACACACACACACACACACACACACACACACACACAGGGTGGGGCGGAGGACATGATCTGCGTTTGGTGACGGAGACCCCGGAGAGGAAGTCCGCTCTGATGTTGGATTGTTGGTTTGAACCTGAACAAGAAAATCTGACGACCTCACTTCCTGTGAAACGTTTCAATAAAAGAAAAACGACGTCATCAGACAGAAAACTGAGAACGAGGGAACCGACGCTCGTCTTGAAGCCGCCAATGATCCAAAACTAAAATGATTCAAACTAAAACTGAACATTTCTGCAGATCCAGGTTTGGATCTTCTGCTTGAACTTGAACTCGTCGACAGCCTCAAACATCAGACGAGCTGCGAGAAAACACGTCTTTGTTCTTTCACACTTGCTCAACTTTTCTTATCGTCTGAAGAAAATCCAGATTTTCAAGCTTCAAACTCAAACAGGAGGAGCTGGTGAAACGTGAAGGTACCGGATCAACACCAGCAGGACACATTACCTTGTGATGGACTGAAGGTCCATTTAAATTAACCAGAGAAGATCTAAACGACTCAGGAGGTGAAATTATGTGGTCAGATCCAAATCCAGCTCTTTGGTGTCACCTGGGCCTGAAGAGAAGCACTGAGAACCTGAAGAACACCATCCACAGTCGAGCACGGAGGTGGAAGCATCACGTTTTGGGTCTGTTCTTCTAAAGGTGCAGGATGTTGTGACCGCACTGTGGGACCAGTGTCATACTGGGTCGTGGACGGGTCTTTAAGCTGGAACATGACCCCAAACATCCCACGAGGCGCCAAAGGAGCAGCTAAAGAAGAAACACATGAAGGTCCTGAAGTGAACCGGCTCCAGACCTCAGTCCTGCAGAAGATCTGTGGAGGAGCTGAAGCTCTGAGGTTCCAAACGGTGGACGAGAAACCTAAAGATGGTCTCCAACTGAACGACTCAACCCAGAGAACAGCTGCGTTTTGCACGGTTCGGTTTTTGGAAACGACAGATTAATTCTGGGCCATGCACACCCACCTCAGCAGCCACGCCCACTTTTATGATTTATTCTACCGGAGAGCACGGGAGAAATTTAAACCACATTTTTATTAATTATTAACCGTGTGTGGTTTGAGACCTGAGCCTCGAATAGTTTCTGTTAGAGGCGTTAAAAGTCTAGAGGTCAAGAGCTGAAACTAAAGACAGATTTGAGACGCCTGCAATGACTCGAACATTTACACAACTCAAGGGATGAGCCTGAAACTCTGAGTTCCCTGAATGTTTCACGACATGTTCAAGATCTCTTATCAACAAGCCTTTAACAAAACACCAAGTCCAACATTCAGCCTCTGAAGTCTCCCACCAAGGAAACGTTCTCCAGACAGGAAGTGTGTTGCGTTCAGGTTCACTTCCTGCCTGTAAGGAACAACCTAACCGGTGAACTTGGTCTCAACGCTCAGAGCCGATAACAGAACCAGTCCGGCAGCATTCCGATCGTGGCTCAGATCCGTCGCTGCCTCGTGGTTTTGTTCTCTGTTCACGGTTCGAGTCCTCGATGACGGAGGGAACTAAAGTCAACGATGGTTCGTGTTGGAAAAAGACGTTTGTCTTGTGCTCAGCTGTTCGAGCAACAAGTTCCTAAAACATTGAAAGACATCCTGCGCCTCTTTATTTAAAGTGTCGGCTGTTTTCTGTTTGTGTCAGGACTGATTATTATTATTATTATTATTATTATTATTATTATTATTAACTTTACTGACTTCATGGTTGTAACAGTTTTTAGTTGTTTTTTTAGTCGAAGAGCCTCTGATCTCTGCAGCAGCTGCTCAGACCCTTGAAACAAGTTGAAGGTTTTATTCTGAGTATTTTTATAATCTACAATAAATCATATATTGTATGAAACGCATCATAATTCTCGATGTCAGCCGAGTGTCTCGTTGACCTCAGACCTAATTAGTTTTGGTTTTGTTGCCTCAGGAGCGTAAGGATTGTGTTCGTCGAGTAATGACCTCTGTTCCTACAAAAAATGAGACTTTTGTACCAACATCAAGATATTAAAGGTTCAAGAACTTTCCACAGACCCGTGGTTTTAAAATGATCTGAACTATCCCTTTAAAAATATATTTTTTTAAATACTGGAATGTGAGCAAAAAAAAAAAACCGTAGAAATGTATTTACTTTTTTCTTTGAGATATACAACAAAATAATTTCTTAATTCCTTGATGTTTTTTTTTTCCCACTTTTGGCACAATGAATAATAAAATGATTGATTCTAATGTAATACAAAAAAACAACATAATAAAATTTAAAAAAAACTTCATGTCAACATTTGGATCATGTTTGACATTTTGGAGATTCATTCTTTATTAACACAAAACTGAGGCTGTCGGTAAACAATCAGTTTTTATAAGTCAGGATCGTCTTGATTTTTTTATTTTCAAGTAAAGTTAAAAAGTTTTTACTCTGAAGTTGAGGCAACACTAGCCTTAAAGTTGACTCGTTACTACAGCTAAAGTTGAGCCATTACGTTCCCTAAAGTTGAGGCAATGCGTTCCCTAAAGTTGAGGCAATAAGTTTCCTAAAGTTGAGGCAATGCGTTTCCTAAAGTTGAGGCAATAAGTTTCCTAAAGTTGAGGCAATAAGTTTC